TTAAAAGACCCGATAGAATCCTTTACTACCGAACTTATTGAGATAGCTGAAGAATGTATACCAAAATCCAAAAGAAGACGCAATTAAAAATCATGGATTAATGAAGATTGTAATAAAGCTATTCGAAATAGGAAAAACGCTTTGATGCAATTCAAAATCAACCCCACAAGCGCAAGCTTTAAACAACTACAAAATTATTCGGGCGGAAGCCCGTCGTGCTGTAAGCTTACACAAAAAATGTCTTGGAGATCTTGTGTGTCCCTTCAAGACCTCACCTAAAGCAAGCCTCTAAATAGAGGCTAATGAACCATCACTATATAACCGTCGAAATAAATTCGCTTTGCATTACACCATTCAGCTAAGGTCAAATCCTACTTTTCTCCCTGTATTTGATCCAAAATATAAAACCTTGTTTCAAGGCAAAGCAAAACTAGTCCATCATTTGGTATTCGAATTTCCGCTCTTTTACAAAACACAAATAATGATGTTAACCAAATTCAGTCATTTGGAACAATAGAAATTCCATCCTGGCTCATGAATTCACCTGAAGTTGACTTTTCACTTCATGAAATGGTTACATCAGACATAGACAGTTACACCTTTCGTTCATCCTTCTCGAAATTGCAGTTAAGATATGAAACATTTCTACATTTCTATATTGATGGTTCGAAAGATAATGATAAGGTTGCTGCGGCCATGGTTACACAAGACCAAACCTATGGACGCCGCTACCGAACAACGCCTCAATATTCTCGGATGAACCGCGAGCAATCTACCTCGCCCTTGAATATATTCAAAGAAACAAAGTAAAAATAGCTGTTATCCATTCAGACTCTCAGTCTTGGCAAAAGAAATATCAAAATTATTTTCTTTCGTAATACCTTAATACTATATCATGAACTTGCTTTTAACTTTCGTATTACTTTTTTGTTTGGTTCCTGGGCACATGGGAATACCAGGCAATGAAAAAGCAGATCGTGCCACTAAGGAAGCTTTATCGCTTCCACCTGTTGTTTTCAAACTTCGTTTTACCGATTTAAAACCATTTATTAAACAAATTTTAAAAGTTCAGTGGCAGGATTGGAATACCTATACCAATAACAAATTGCACTCCGTTAAACCTGTTATCGGTGAATGGTCTCCATGCTATAGAGACAACCACCGAGACGAAGTTGTCCTTGCCCGTCTTCGAATTGGTCATACATACCTTACACATTCATATATGATGAAAGGCGAAGATAATCCTTTCTGCATAGGATTTGATGAGCCATTCGCCGTTAATTTTTTTATTGGACTGCAGTGACTTTCTGTCTACACGAAAAAGTTTCTATCGTAACATTTCACGTTTAAAATTCTTTTTGGAAGTGTTGAGATTTGTAAAATTCTAAATTACCTGAAAGATGTTTGTCTATATAATAGACTATGGTGTACCATTTTAATCTTTTGTTAACATACCCATTTAAGATTTTTAACATTTGTCTTTTAATTTTTGGTTTGTTTAATGTTACTTCCTTTTGGGTCGCTGTGTGTTTGATGGCCCTAATGACCTGTTAGGTGTTCACGGGCCGTTAAGAATGTAATAATTATAATAATTTATATAGACGTTTACATAAGACTGGGACATGAAGAAAATACTTGAGATACCAACCAATGTCTTATGAGATCAAACGAAAAAGTCGTTGAGCAGAAATCAATGGCAGTGTGGATATGAATACAAGATTTCGGACGAAGAATTGCTAACAAATGTTTTTATTCCTATGTTTGATGAAATTTTCTGACATAATAATAGCCTTGTTTTTTGGGGATACAGTCAACATCCACTTTATCTCCCATCCACTCTAGAATGTATGTAAAGTAACATAATTGTCGTCGTTTGACCGAGTGGTACAATGTTATATATCTACGTATATTAAAATTCAGGCCGCATAGTCTATGATAAATCTTATCAACCGATGTGTGCTAGCGAAATCCCATCGCGATGTTGTGCGCTATATACTCTAATGTGCTTGGTATGTGTTGAAATCAGCCCTAAATATACCAGTAATTATTGCGAGATGTTTATTTACATCTCTAAATTTTGCATACATACAGACATGTTCAGAACCTACCAGTATTTTCTTGTCATTTGATCGTCAATGACTATTCTACTGAACTGGCTGCTGTTCTAGCTGTATGTTTAATGTGACGTGTTTTAGGAAAATCTGTGAAGATAAGAATTGTTAATGTCGCATGTAAAATAGTTACCCCGAAGTTTGTACACTTTATTGCATGTACAGAAAAATAAGTAACAATTCATATATATATATTTAATCTTTTTTCATCCCTGCTGATTCAAATCAAAACAACAATATAAATATAGATATGCCAACTAAGACTTTTAACTTGATGAAACACGAGTAAATATCATTAACAAAAGGAATATTTACATGTAAGACCTTTGATTATTAAGTAAAAAATGACTGGAAGAATAAACGGCTTCTGCTTTATGGAAGACACCTACAATGTAAATCTTGCCCTATTATATCTATATATATGAATTAATGGGGTAGTAATAAAAAAGTATATGCATCAAACACATCCAACGGAAAGGAAATACAATATTTCCCAATATGATCATTATGTCGATTGTAAAACTTCCCTTCTCCGTTATCTTTAGCAACCAGCATCTCAATCCTTTGATTAGAATTGATCAGTCAGCTGTCAACATCATGGCCGGGATTTATACACAGAATCTCCGACCTTGAAGAAATATGATCTCGATTTATGACGGAAGTACCCGAGGGACTCGTTGTTCACAGGGCATGCATAGTGAATGAAGGCACTGTCGTCAGTAGGTTGATTGTTTAAGGTTTATTGCAAAGATTCGTATTGTAACCGTAAACATATATCGGTACATGTCGGTTACTAAAACGCCCCGTGGAGAGAATAACGTTCACACCTGGGATCGGATGTTTACAAAAAGCACGTAGATTAGCCATGGCGTATTCATGAATACTTTATATGCGAAAGCGTCTTAATTGTATATTTCTCTTTGCACTCAATACTCCTGTTCAGAACGTCTCGTGTTTCAATACAACATCCGATTGGCGTTCAGTCTGCAAGTTTTATTATGTAATCTTTTGAATATGATATGGCAGAAATAGACGGTTATCTGAACATATGGAAGATAAGGTATATCCCCTATAATTATGTAAAATTATGAAAAGAAATAAGTGTATTTAAATGACCGGGTGCGGCAATGACTGGATTATTATATAATCTGGATAGAAAGACGATAGGAAAACATGTTTTATTAAGAAAATATCTTATACGTGTACACAAACTTTGGACTAAAAACCGTGAATAGGAAATCAAATTTCTTTTGGTTTCAGCAGTACAACAAATTCACACGAAATCATCGCGCATATTCTCAAGTAATATCATAAAAACGTCCTGTCGTGTACATGTATTTTGCATACAAATCAGAATAGATATTTACCATTTGGTTCAATTAGTTTAAGTTTTGTTTCCCCACCATCCATGGTAACCGTTTTCATAAAACCAAGACAAATATAATGACATGAAACCAGAAACAAACACGTCAAGAGATAAACAAATAATTGTTTAATCTTGAATGGTCTCAATTCATTCTAAAATTGAATAAATTTAATCTAGAATTAGATAATATTGTTAAAACCCATGCAGCTTTTATCGCTGACTGCCTTAATATCAAGTGCAATAGACCTAAACCGTCATCAGACACAATATGACTCTCACGTCAAATGAACCTATGTAGCCTTACATAAACAACAAGTACCTGCAGTTTCAGTGTTAATATGTAGTTATAGCGGACACAAATATTAACCCATGTCTTCAGTCGAGAGATGCAGCGTATCAAAATCATCAATACAATACTGTCAATTTATTTGGAGAATGCAAATGTAATTTTAAATATGTAATATTCGATTTATCAATAGTATTAATTTCAATCTTTTTTGTTTGTACAACGTTTCAATTATATATTAATCTCCATATAAATAATCAACTATTGTTAGCCAAATGACGTCATGATTCGTGCACTTTTCACTTCTATACCTAACAGGTAAGTTGCATAATAAACATTTTGTCGGCAAGACTACCGAACCTGATAAAACCCACAGCTATTGATTTTCTGTCAAGTGCGGTTCTTTCTTCTGCACTGTATACGTTATCACTGTTTTCCTTTGGACACAGATTTCAACATTGTGTACATAAGTTTGGCTACAAACACCTGTTATCTTGGTTGTGTTACACCTGCGATTAAAACGTAGACAGACTATGGTTTGTGCGATTTACAGGTGTGTGAGCCTAGGTTCCCCGGCTGCTAATACGTAGCCCAGGTTCTAGTAAGATATATTGATTTCGAGGTCGTTGGTATATACAGGAGTTGGAGGGAAGGGAAACAAATTACTACCGCTTTATTGGGGTCGTGTTACAAACAAGCCATTGGAAATTGATTCTGTCGTAACATATCATTATTGATAGGCCTTTAATTGTTTCCTTTTATTAGGTACTGAATGATTACCCCCTCCAAAAAGTAAAAGAAAAGAGATATCGTTGACAAGGCAGATACAAATCAATTAAACTTTATCACATTTTATAAAATTTACTTCACTTTAGTTCCTCTGAAAATAGTAAAAATTGAAAACATAAATATATGAAACTGGTTCAAGTTCGCTCTCATACCTAGAAGAATACACTAGCCAACGAATTGCCTTGTAATGACAACCATCAATATATGCAACGGAAGTGACGTTACAAGGTCACGAACCCTCTGTATGGTTTCATTATCAAGTTCTCAGAAGAGGCCTTTGGGACACCAAAAGAGATTTGTTAACGGCACATTGCCATAACGTTCATCACACCCGGCGATTACGGGGTGGTAAATATTGTGCATTTTATCGCACGGACACGTAGCTACTGGTGTGAAGGAACAAAGACAAACTTCTATTTCTACATTCAAGCGATCCTTATAAGTCATCATGGATTGTTTGGCGTCTTGTGGAAAGTGTTTTTTAACGCTCATCAACACTTTATTTGGGGTAAGATAGCCTATTGAGTTAATTTATTCGTGTTTTATAATTCACAAATTCACACTAGAAAAGCAAACAAAGTCACTGTAGTTAAAATATTGCAATAAACTCGTACCACAGTATATTTTGTATCCACCATATTATCATAATATGAGTCATCATATTAATGATTTTGAAATTAAATTAGGTGCTTTATTATTTTATTATCATGTTTTATTTTAATTCGCTGATTTAATCTCACACAGGAGAGATTCCAACCAATGACGAGGATTTTTTATATTAGATAATCAAAATTGCACGAAACTGATCTTTTTTTTTCGTTCTAGAAAGTTTCACAATCAATTATTTTCTTTCGTTGAAAACTTGAGCGGAAATATCGCAGTCTCCCGCGAGATATGATACACGAAGTACCTTATTTTAGGCAATTACTGCTAGAAATTGTTAATAGAGATGATGTTTTAACCACTTTCGATGTATCAGACTCAAATATATGTATGCAGTATGCAAGCTGTAGTCAGTTAAGGAAACATGAACAGAGAAGACGTTATAATAGTGATGTATATAGTCAAAAGAAAGGATGAATGTATATTTTCTTATTCATACCACATTTATGATTGAAACAGTCTTCCATATTATTTTATGTCCCATAATATCTGGTTCGGGTTTTGCCAGGGTTAAGGCCCAGGGGTCCAATTCCTCACATGTCTGTCCCCGCGAAGGAGGGGTTTCAATAACCTATATATATTCCGGTCCTTCTTATTGATCATAATTCATTATTTCAATATATTATTGCAGTATAATACACGTATTTAAGCATTATATTCCTTATTCAAATACTTTATTGTACATTGTTATCTCTCATTTATTCATTTTTTTTCACACAAAAACAATTTTGTCAACATTCCATTCCTACGATTATTACTGAGTATATAATTTGCTGTCCCCATGCAGGAAGGTTTCACTCATCACCCACGCTCTAAGATATAACATCTTTTGTTTATACATTCCGTAATATGTTCAGATATAATTGAAACGTTCAAAATCGTTTAAAATTTAGCAAGATTACTTCCTGGGTAGAAACAAAACAACATTAAAGTTGTACTGCTTGGCAATTACTTTTAACGTCACGAGTCGGGAGATAAAGTCTCTTTTTTTAACTATTTGTGGAATAATTGAAAAACAAATAATGAATTTTACGACCGACGCGAGATTCTTCAGATGACAACTTAATATATATTGAAATGATATATACCTCAAAAAAGGTTCGAAATAACATTTTGATTAAACTACCGTGGATACAAAGCTTGATGTCGATGCCTATGAAAGGTAAAAAAGAAAAGCATGACAAGGAAGTCATCTAACAAATTAAGGATACATTATCGCAGCAAATTTACAACAATTTGTTTGAAATGTGATGTCAAGTAATATCTTGATACATATTGTGTACATCACATATCCTGTGACACTGCTATGGTACTGCCTTTCTAATGGCTGTTACCAAAAGCATGAACTGCTAGTGGTATATGAATATTGCAAGAAGTATAAATAATCAATTGCAATTACCACTTTCCTGATAACAGGATAAAATCAGATCTGATCAAAGTTAGCATTTAATTGTTTTCAGTTATCATTACTTGGTATTACATGTATGAATGGTTATGGGATACAGACAACCTCACAGAGCGCTATCCAACTGACATTGCTTTTGCCTTTGAAATGTCAATTGAAAGCAGTTCAATGCTTCCTCAATGAAGACGGTGTTTGCAGATGAATGGACAAATGCCTGATGCTATTATGATATTTCATTACCATAATATGAAAGCAGAAAATCTTATCCTGTCACATTATACTGACAACGGAGTTATAATCTGCCGACTTATTATACACGAAGGCGTTTGTTATTTGGGGTGACGCTCCTGCACCAGCAGGACTCATTTGAAGGATTTTATTGATAATTCCTTAAATAACACTTTTATAGTGAAATTCCTTTGAAATTATAATTTTGAAATGGAAGCAGGAAAATGCAACCGGTCCCATAATCAGTCCTTGTGTTTCCTATTAGTTGTCGAGTGGCAGGTTGAACCACTCTGAATAACTTTTTAAAGGCTATGATATGTCATTGTATGGAGACGGAATTCAATGTCATGAAAGTGTCGAATTAGTATTTGCATTGTATTTTGGTTTTGGAAAGCAACCACGAATTTTCTTAAATTACGTGGGCACACAAAGTTACGACTATGAAGTGTCAGGAGGAAGAAAAATGAAATAAACTAATGATTACCAACCCCCTTCCAAAAACAAAAACAAGAGAAAACATAAAGATCTAAAGTTAAGGCGCTTTTTAAACTCCTTGATCTACTTTCACTTTGATTACTGACACTTAGTTATGATGCAAAAACTATTTAGAATAGTGATAACAATATGAAGAATAGATACATTTCCGAGTATATAAAAAGATGATCGTGAAATTGTTCTACAATTACAACCACAGAAAATACCGTATTGGCAATAAAATCACTTGAAACTCAAATTTGATTAAACAAAGAAAAATAGGAATAAATGAAAGAATAGAATGGAATAACACATGGGTTTCTTGAAAATCTTGGTTTATCCAAGTATGTTACATGACGTTCTCTAATAAAAACATTGTAAACAACAACGAAGCCATCAAGGATACTAACGGGGAACAGGCCTAATCTCCTATCGCACAAGAATATTTCCCAATAAAATCATTATGACAACTGTAAACAACTATTCCCTAAGATTAAAAGTCACAATCCCTCGAACGATATGTTATTTATGTCCACTACATGTCAGTATGATATTTGTTATGCGTTGAAGGGCCGTTAAGATTGTAATAATGGTATTAATAATTTTTCAGTTGATTGGCCTAGCCTGCTTGGTCATTGGACTGATTATAAAGTTCGGAAAGGACGTTCTTAATGACGTCCTGAATACTGTGATGGATCAAATCGGCGATCAAATTAAACCTATGCTGACAGGTATGTAACCATTCATGATACAATATAATAAAGATAATTATGTAAATCACAATCGCCATCTCATGTGAGATAATGTGCGAATTAAACTTTGTTTTTCTTTTATATAGGTCAAAATTTGAATTATAGGTCATAGTGACCTACTTTTAATACACGACACCCGCCACCTCTTGGTTGGCCCATACTGCAAATATATTTAAGTGATAAAGATAGAACCCAGACAAAATAAAACGAAGTGAAAATGAAAGACAGCGACGTACTTTTGATATACAACGCAATGCATCATCATGGTAAACATACATATAGTATGCTTTTTAAGTGTCAGTGATAACGAGCAAGCTATTGGAAGGACAGATGGAGGAATGGACGAACACGACAAAAACCGTAGTCCTTCTCATGCTTTTGAGAATATTTCTGTATTGAATACTTTTTCTATTAAGAACACCTCACTATTAATATCACTTTTTCTCAATACTCCCGCTATCTCTTTGTAATGAATATTTTTATAATAAGACCACTTCCGTATCATAAGTAGTTCGTTTGATGTTATTTTATTTCTTTCACCGGTTGATGACCTTAAAGACCTTTTATGTGTTATGTGAATGTAATAATATTATGTGTTGACGGGCCGTTACGATTGTAATAATAATAATGGTCTTCATAATGAAGCGTCTCTGTAAAATTTCCGATTTCATCAGCAGCATCTGTACATTGTCCTTATAATACAATGAGCTGAAAGTAATGTCAGATCATTTTCGTTAAAATTGAATAATGATATGATCTTTTCCACAGAGGTACCCTTTATCTGTGACTTCAGTGTTTTATCGTTCTTCATTCCTCTGCGATTTTTGTTTTAAATTCTTTGACCACGAAAGTCGTGTCCACACACGAATGGAAATATTATGTCTTGTGTAAACATGCGTTTTAAAAGAAATTTGGATATTACTAATATGGACAGTGATTTGTCACGTTTGTCTATGCAGCCTTAATACGAGGTTCGATTCTCCAATCAGGGGTTTTCTTCGATACAGTTCGTCGATTACCCCGGTTCCCTCCCACAGTAAGACACTGGGCCAGCAAAAATGCAATGAACTGCCACCTTGTTTCACATTTGTTGTGAAATATAGGTCATAGTTTAATATAAGTTACTCAATATTCCGCGTAAAAAACTGTAGGTATTGCAAGAACTAAACACAAACGAAAACCTCAACGTTCGTTTATGCTATGTATGTCAACCGCTGAATATAAAAAAACTATATTCTTTTCCTAGAAGTGACTGAAGTGACCTAGACCTTTCACATGTTCTACACAAATTAACGGCAAATCATTATTACTTAACACGTCACCGAGACCTTTATAGGGTTTTAATTCAATATTTAACTTTCTGAACTATAAACAAATATTATCTTCGTATTTTAATTTGGCCGATCTTACCGTCATATTCTGTAGTGATTGTGTAACATCATCGAATGTTTTTCTCTTCTGTTCTCAATAGTATGGTATGGGCATCCCGTATGTTGTTCACCGGGGTAGCTATCAGTTCCTACAACGATACACAGCCTCCAATTAACCGTCAGTGTTGAATGGGCAATAAATCAGGATATAAACAATAGATTTGCTATTTTGACCTCATATACATTTATTGTCAAAGGGAACAAGTATACCCCTTATGGCACTCTTATCATGCACTTGGACTGATGTTTTGTGCTCGCGTTATCAGTAATCCGCCGCCTTGTTTACATATACCTGCTGGAGTGTGTCACTGGAAAAGTGTATAAACGTCAATAACGCCTGAATATGGTTGCTTTATTTTTGTCGAAATTTATCATCCAAGCTCAAGATTATTTTAGATTAATAAGTAGGTATCATATATGATAACTTATAATTTTAAAGTTTAGTTAATCAACAGATATGAATATAATTGAAAGAGTTAGACACAGAACTTTAGAGAAAAAGCAACCATATTCCCTTTTAAATCCACCTTTTCCCCTCGATCCCTGGCCTGGCTTCTCAGAATTACCTGTACCGTCTTCTTGCCAAGCATAGTTAGGCTTACATTGGATTTTATTCTAAACATTTAATAATACTTATGTATACCGCTTAATGCGTTGTATCATTACATGTGTGTTACCCGATATTTTTCTAATTCCCTGTAAAATGAGCGGCGGCATGGGTCTGGTAATGTAAACAGTGTAAATCCGTGTGTGTCCCGGTCTGTCAGTCGTTAAAGAATATATATGATGCGCTATACACACAACCAATTCATTTACAGACATTTTAATCTTTCATTGGCTATTTGTTATGGTGTATCCCTTGAGACAAGCAAGTTTTATTGACATTAAGAACTTCCGGGTGCTTGTGCGAATATATAAATGAAGGTAATTTATTCCAGATAAGCTGGAATATGTGAGGAAAAAACAGAATATTTAAAATGCCACTCTTTCAGTGTCTTCTCTAACAACTTTAAATGTCTTTTATCCTGGGATTGTAGATGAGTTGTGTCATACCTGTATTAAGAGATATTGATCAGAATGTGACCAACGACAAAAGACTTGTTAGTTTACCGTGTTATATCGGAATATATTTAACTGAAGTATACAAACCATAAAAGAGGAGAATAAAATGAGACAAAACATGAAACAAAAATTGACGTTTGGGAACCTAATTAAGTGTAATTATAACTTAATGGCATGACTGTCTATGATGAAAGACATTAAAACTGTTCTAGTTAATAAACAAGAAACTTAGAGGAAACTTTGTCTATAGTAATTAATTAATTTTACATTATTACGGAAAAGTTCGTAAATAACCATTGCTATTAATTTATGAAAGACGTGAAATTCTCTATTTGATAAAGATAAATATAATTGACGCTTATAGTGTTTATACATGATATGTGTAGTTTTAAGTATATTTTCATGGTAACATCATCACTAATAACCATGGTGATCCACTTTCAGGCATCACTTTTAAAAAAAATAAAGAGTTGGGTGTTTCTTCCTTTCGGACGAAAGAACGTCCTTTTAAACTATCAAAGCTTTCAACAGAAATCGTCCCGTCCGGTAGGCCGCTCTTTGTTAAGCTCTCCTGGATACCCTATCTATAACAAAGTTTGAAAAAAAAATCTTTCATGACAGGAAAATAAAAGATATCGTTTAACCCACAAAGATTAATATTTGCCGCATTTTTAAAGTCTATATATTTTCATTGCAACCATAATCTACCCTATCACAAAGAAATAAATATATTACAGATTCTACTTATTTAAGCAACAAAGGTAAAGCGATTCGTGTATGTAAGTGATAAGGCACTTACAATTAAGATATAAGTAAAAAAAAAATGTCACCAAATACATGAATTTCAAGTTACAGGTCATGACATTTATAATCGGGTATATGTAGAGTGTACTTCTAATTGGAGAAAGTAAAATGCGCATTTTATCGAGACATGTCAGTGCTTAGTGCTTCCGAATTGGAAATCTGCCAAATCAGTGCCCTTTGGATTTCAAACACTGGTTTGGCTTTACAGTGTTTAACATCCTGTCAGCAGTTATAGTTATTTATTGATAGCTTGTCCGTGCATGCAAGGTGAATGCATGTACTGAAGTTGTGGGTTTGCGGGGTATGTAAGTGAGATTCTCCGTTGATATTTCGGAACTGCTGTTTACTTTATAGTACTACAATACTGAAATATATTGTCGAAGACACTCATATATATATATATATATAGGCAAAACCATCGTTATACTTTCGACCTACTTGCATCGAGCTGTTATCTTTTTGTATTTTATGATATATTGCACACCGCTTTGGCAACACTCGATATTAGAACTAGTAGAGTCCCATAAGCTTAATGGTTTAACAATATGTTCAAAAGACACACAACTGGATAGCACCATTTATATCAATATAGAATAACAAAAGTAGTGCAAAATAACGAATCAAACCACGTCATAGAGCTGTTCAACCTTCTAGTTCTCGACGGTGATGCTAAGGGAATAAATTGTGATATCTAGAAGGCCTCTGAGTAAAATCCAAAGTCATCGAAAGATAGTCAGAATCTAGATGGAGATGTACTAGCCCTATGATATATCACAATTTTTGAACAATGTCAAATACATGTGTATATTCTGAGCCGTGCAACTATTCAAATGATACTAAGGACCTACATCTTAAAACAGGCGACTAAGGGGGGAATGCAAAGTGTTTTCTGAATGAAATCAAAATGGATATAATACCAAAATGGACTTGTTTAAAAACACCTATAAAACAAAATATGATCCTATTCATAATTCCATTACCGAAACCGTTTTTTCATGTTATATCCATCGCTCTTGTCGGCTAGCATTGAAGATGTTACAAGATCCGAGATTATCCGTAGAAAACGCACGTTGTCGGAGAGATGACTTCGTAACTTTTTACGTCGCATAACTTACAACTACACCGCCCTATTTAACTATATTCGTTCATGACACAGGCACATAAAACAAATAGCATCATATCAGAACTGACATTTTCGAAAATATCCAGCATGTATTAACATACCCATTTAAGATTTTTAGCATTTGTCTTTTACCTTTTGGTTTGTTTAATGTTATTTCCGTTTGGACCGCTGTGTGTTTTACCGTTTGATGTCCCTTTAATGTGTTGCCTGGCCGTTAAGAATGTTATAATAATAATAATAATGTACCATTCCATATGCCCTGTACCATTTAGGTCCTCAGCATTTCTGACGATTCCTGGAAAGACAAAGCGGTTGTAGAAAGCAGTTTCTAACTCAAAATTGTATTGGTGTTTCTTTTGTACAATATCCTATACGATAGTTCCGTTTTGAAATCAAGACAGAAATAACTGACAAGCCAGCATTAATTTTCATCGAAACTCCAGAGCGATGAAACCAAGGAAAAGGTATAAAAGAAATTATTAACACAACCCCAACCCAACCCCCCCCCCCCCAAAAAAAAAAAAAAAAACTCTTGAAATAAGATCGCCTACCACATAAATATCTTGGTCAATCCATGTACTGTTTATCATGAATATAGTAGGTATTTGATTAATACTCGCTAGTGTACGTGTTGTATAGATTGTTCTCATTTGAGAACGTGACACTTCTTAATTGGAATGACCAGACTTTTCATGGCGGGTATCGTCGACAAAGAAGACGCCTACTCTTGCGGATCACCTGGTATTCTCTTGTACTTTTTCAAGCATCTCATTGTAATTTTTTTTTTCATAATATGTTGCCCTAGTTTTGTTGACATGTTGGATTGTTTTGTTTGTAGTTTCCATCACATTTGAATGATGTTTAGACGAGCAAACATGTTAAAATTACGCTGTCGTTTACATTTTGTTTCAGCGACTGGAAGTTCCATCGATTCCTTCAAGGATTCGTTTGACCTGACAGTGTTACTAGGAGATGTAGCTATCTTTCTGATTGTGTTCGGCGTCGTCCTGCTGTCCTTGGTCATTGTTGGGTACTGTGGCACGTGCTGTATGAGTCGGTGTCTTCTGATCATAGTAAGTATACTGTGTCATTGAAATGGTATGTATACTCTATATTTTTAAACGGGGTTCTGTTTTCGTGAGTTAGTTTTTTTCTATTTCGTGGATAAATATTAGCTCGATAAATCCTCTTATACTTTTGTAACAGGTCGTAGTCTTACGATTTCATGGATTGAGAGTACCCACAAAATTTTTGTCTGTATATAAGACAGAATATTTAATTGTAAGACAAATGACGTTATCTTCGATCTGTATATAAAACATATTCTGTCTTGGCTGGATATAAGGCGTTGTCATTTTTGTTATATGTTGGCCAGAAATTTTCATCTCAATTAGCGACAATAGTTATCACATCTTCAGAAACTCAAAACAAAAGTGAAATATGAAATAATCTCCGGCTTCCATCTTACTCTGGAGTTAATATTCAATTACCAACTTATTGCGTCATTTGATTATATAACAGGAAAAGGCCACGCAAGCATAATCTCGGAAAAAAACACATGTATGGTCATGAGATTGTTTACACTAGTTATAGTTATGGTTGTAAAAACATGGCAATAACTACACACGGAAACCACAGATAACCCTGAGTAAACACTCCCCTTACATAGACTAAGAAGTGCCTTACCCATAAATTTCCATTTCTCTGCAAACACTCAACAAAACAAACAACTTATATTGCCGGACATTCAAACGTGCAAATGTTAAACATTTATGTGTAAAACAAATGAGTTGATGTGGTTTGACGCTAGAACCTCTGCAAAAATATAATATAATTTGAAATGACGGAATAGTGCCGAAGGACTATTTTAAATCAGCAAATGTATTATGGCTAGATATAAAATGCCGATATACAATACTCTTTATCAGTTGCTGATTAATTTTCGGTTTAAAGTTGGTCATCTTGCAACCTAATGTGATACAAATGTAAAATGGCGGCTATGGTGAAGCCTTGCCCTGCTGCAAAGGAATTGATTTGAACATTTCTAATTGCCAAACATACACTGATACATCTTTTATAAAGTCATTTATATTTTGTATTGCTATGGTAGTTAAGACACCAATATCAGAAAATTAGGACAAGATATAATATTTTGACGATCCAATATATAGGTTAAAAATTTGTATCCATTTTCCATGGCCAAATATTCAGATACGTTTCCTGTTTATTCCTTCTCTCTGTAACATCTGTTCTGTAGCTTTTTATCTTCTTAAGAAAGATTAACTACATTTTTGTTCCATTCATTACTTCACTATTGGATCGTCTCTGATTTCCCTGACGTACAACGGGTAGTAATATATTTAATCAACATCTCATGATTTCACAGGGTTCCAGTGTCCATGACAACGGTGGTTAGTTTAGTAGTAAATTTTACTTGCTTAGTAAAATTGACGCTTCTTGTCTGTTTATCTCTTCCTATAATCAGACAAAATATAACTATTTCAATAGCTGTATATTGCTTAAATATTCAGCGCTAGCTATTTGAAACTATACTAATTTTAAAAGTTTCTTTTCTCTTAAACTTAAAATTTAAAAAAATCGTTGAATTTGCTCATTGGAGGTACCCCTGTTCGTTGGAGTGGTTTGTAGTAAGAATATTCAGCACAAACATGTTCGTTAAATTAAAAGTAACAACAAAACCTTTGAATAAAATACCAGCACGATATTTAAGATGGTTAATATCTGGTGATTGGAAATGATTACATGTTTGATTGCAGTACGGTGTTATCCTGATAATCCTGGTACTGGGACAGATAATCGGACTTATTCTGCTGTTCGCAAGTCGGGACACTGTAAGTACATACTTTTAATAATTCGTTCCAAGTTTCTTTTTAATGAATAAGAAATACAAACAGAAAATAGAATAAGACCTTTATCGGTTCGTTGTCACGATTTAATGAGATGATGCTTTAAATTTAGAGTCGGTTATTCTTGTGGGTATTATTTTCGCGTTATATTAATGTGATCGGGAAAATTTAATCCGCGAAATAATGAGACACTTGTGTTTTAATGTCCTTTTCAGATAACTATATTTTAATGTATTAATATATGATAAGATCATTTTATTGTAAAATTGTGAAAATTTTGACCAGTGCAAATTACCATCTATACGGTATACTGGCTGCGCATGAAGATGTATAATGATCCGTGGCACAGTTACTACCTTCCTGGCATACAGTTATGATACATAGCTTATAAACAACACCATACTGTGTTCTACTTTATCTAGGGTTCATCATTGCACAGAAAACACATATAAAGTTGCACAACGACTATTAATGAACTTGTCGTATCTAAATGTCTGGTGACACATGCTTGCTTAAATCGATAGTTAGCTTGCCAGTGTAAGAACTGAAACGAAATGATGAATTATCTATATTAATGTTTTGTACATATCCTGTCGTTATAGTTGAGTGATCAAATCAAATCTCCACTGAAGGATTCCCTTACGGACTATAAAGGTGATCAGGCTCTAGACTTTGTCTCTGTGGCCTGGAACGCTGTCATGTTACAGGTAAATTTCAAATGTCAAAATCGATTATAGTTGTTAACGGTTTTATGCAGATCTCCATGATGATATGAGAACTTTAAGGGAGATACAGTTGTTTTTAAAACTGGTTAGCTAATATTACGGATTGAAAATCAAACGGAACATTCGTAAAGTTATTACTAATTAGCAATCACATGAACATTAAAATTGATCGGTGATTATAACAATTAATTTCATTTCGACAGTTTTCGAAATAACACTGGAACTACATCAGTAAGTTTATCGTATATTGTTTCACACCTTAGGAAGTGGTGTCTTGGGCAACAAACGTACCGGTAAACGTGTATGAAGGTGACAGGTCCGGATGCGTACCGCCTGGGTCGCCAATGTAACAAACGCAATACTTATCTGATTTACCCGAGCATATATTTTTTGTTTACAAAAAGAATGAAAAATGAGCAGTATAGAAGTAATGAAAATGAAATTTTCTTTCTGATGGTATAGTATTTAAAATGATGCATTGATGAGACATAAAAATACGTCCATTTAATATCTACATATATATCGTATATATAATGTGTGTCCGTACACTGAGGCTGGTCACGTGTGGCTCTTTGTAAGTAAAACACTATATATCTATGGTTTAGGTAGGAAATATTCTTTATAATTAGTTGTTTTCTAATATATTTAGAAAAGAAATAAACCCTACCTACATTTATTTATAAGTCATTCTAAATTTATACGTACCTCGACAGAATCGCACATTTTTGCGATAGAACTGCACAACATGCGCACAAAATGTGCGATAGCTTATTTCGTTAAATTTTCCTATCGTTGTGTGATCCCACAACTGTACAAAGAGAATTAAAAAGATACAATAGACAGGAAAAAAGAAAAATGCAGATCCAATGTGTTACAATGGGCACTACAAGACTGTTTTTTGATTTGTCAACGGCTCCTTAGAAGAATATAAAGAGGGAAGCATTTAATTCTGTTCGCCACTTATACTGATGCAGTAAGATACAAGTAAAACCGGTAAAATACTTAGGTTACATGTACACGTATTGGATCGCACTATTTGCGGGAAAATACCATTTGTACATCGTCCGTACATCAGCAGGATGCACTATTGTACCGACCAGTCGGGCGGTTTGGTTACGATTGGTTGATCGATAATACGAATTAAGAAAAAATAAACTGAATGGTAGTGCACTACTGGCTGGTTAGCGATTGCCAGTAATGTATTACATGAACTAGTAAAGAAGTGGGAACGAGTTAGGAAGTCGTGCAAACTGGATTACAAAGAAGTGGGAACGAGTTAGGAAGTCGTGCAAACTGGATTACAACGAAGTGGGAACGAGTTGGGAAGTCGTGCAAACTGGATTACAAAGAAGTAGGAACGAGTTAGGAAGTCGTGCAGACTGGATTACAAAGAAGTGGATTACAAACTGGATTACAAAAAAGTCAGAACGAGTTAGGAAGTCGTGCAAACTGGATTACAAAGAAGTGGGAACGAGTTAGGAAGTCGTGCAAACTGGATTACAAAGAAGTGGGAACGAGTTAGGAAGTCGTGCAAACTGGATTACAAAGAAGTGGGAACGAGTTAGGAAGTCGTGCAAACTGTATTACAAAGAAGTGGGTACGAGTTAGGAAGTCGTGCAAACTGGATTACAACGAAGTGGAAACGAGTTAGGAAGTCGTGCAAACTGGATTACAAAGAAGTGGGAACGAGTTAGGAAGTCGTGCAAACTGGATTACAAAGAAGTGGGAACGAGTTAGGAAGTCGTGCAAACTGGATTACAAAGAAGTGGGAACGAGTTAGGAAGTCGTGCAAACTGGATTACAAAGAAGTGGAAACGAGTTAGGAAGTCGTGCAAACTGGATTACAAAGAAGTGGGAACGAGTTAGGAAGTCGTGCAAACTGGATTACAAAGAAGTGGGAACGAGTTAGGAAGTCGTGCAAACTGGATTACAAAGAAGTGGGAACGAGTTAGGAAGTCGTGCAAACTGGATTACAACGAAGTGGAAACGAGTTAGGAAGTCGTGCAAACTGGATTACAAAGAAGTGGGTACGAGTTAGGAAGCCGTGCAAACTGGATTACAAAGAAGTGGGAACGAGTTAGGAAGTCGTGCAAACTGGATTACAAAGAAGTGGAAACGAGTTAGGAAGTCGTGCAAACTGGATTACAAAGAAGTGGAAACGAGTTAGGAAGTCGTGCAAACTGGATTACAAAGAAGTGGGAACGAGTTAGGAAGTCGTGCAAACTGGATTACAAAGAAGTGGGAACGAGTTAGGAAGTCGTGCAAACTGGATTACAAAGAAGTGGGAACGAGTTAGGAAGTCGTGCAAACTGGATTACAAAGAAGTGGGAACGAGTTAGGAAGTCGTGCAAACAGGATTACAAAGAAGTGGGAACGAGTTAGGAAGTCGTGCAAACATGATTACAAAGAAGTGGGAACGAGTTAGGGAGTCGTGCAAACTGGATTACAAAGAAGTGGGAACGAGTTAGGGAGTCGTACAAACTGGATTACAAAAAAGTCAGAACGAGTTAGGAAGTCGTGCAAACTGGATTACAAAAAAGTGGAAACGAGTTAGGAAGTCGTGCAAACTGGATTACAAAGAAGTGGGTACGAGTTAGGAAGCCGTGCAAACTGGATTACAAAGAAGTGGGAACGAGTTAGGAAGTCGTGTAAACTGGGTTACAAAGAAGTGGGTACGAGTTAGGATGTCGTGCAAACTGTATTACAAAGAAGTGGGAACGAGTTAGGAAGTCGTGCAAACTGGATTACAAAGAAGTGGAAACGAGTTAGGATGTCGAGCAAACTGGATTACAAAGAAGTGGGAACGAGTTAGGAAGTCGTGCAAACTGGATTACAAAGAAGTGGGAACGAGTTAGGAAGTCGTGCAAACTGGATTACAAAGAAGTGGGAACGAGTTAGGAAGTCGTGCAAACTGGATTACAAAGAAGTGGAAACGAGTTAGGAAGTCGTGCAAACTGGATTACAAAGAAGTGGGAATGAGTTAGGAAGTCGAGCAAACTGGATTACAAAGAAGTGGGAACGAGTTAGGAAGTCGTGCAAACTGGATTACAAAGAAGTGGGAACGAGTTAGGAAGTCGTGCAAACTGGATTACAAAGAAGTGGGTACGAGTTAGGATGTCGTGCAAACTGGATTACAAAGAAGTGGGAACGAGTTAGGAAGTCGTGCAAACTGGATTACAAAGAAGTGGAAACGAGTTAGGAAGTCGTGCAAACTGGATTACAAAGAAGTGGGAATGAGTTAGGAAGTCGAGCAAACTGGATTACAAAGAAGTGGGAACGAGTTAGGAAGTCGTGCAAACTGGATTACAAAGAAGTGGGAACGAGTTAGGAAGTCGTGCAAACTGGATTACAAAGAAGTGGGAACGAGCAAAGCAGACCTACGATTGAGTAAACAAAGTCTTTCAGAAAACCCTGTCCGTGCAACCTTTTATCTCATTCTTACGACTAAGTTATTGTTTTCGCATAAACAATGTGTCACGAAAGATTTTTTATATTTGTATTTAAAGAAGGTAAATTATAGGAATAATGGTCTTATAAATGTATACTGACACCGTCCATCTGCTGAGAGCGTCATAACTGCATTATGCACTGCTAATAATTGTATTTTGTATATCTACATGTATCGACGACAAGTAACACGTTCATTTATCGTGAACATCTATTGTATGTTTTAAGACTAATAATTATAATCATTCTCTTATAATGTATTTAATATGATTGTAACATACCTTTGTTTCTCATCTATCCATTGTCCAACCAAAAGACCGAACGCCCACATTCTCCGGAAGTTTATGTACAGATAATGTAATTGCATATAGAATACGAAAGACTGCATCTTGTTTTTTTGTGTTATTTATTTAATATTTATTCGTATAATCATACAGTTTTATTGTACTTGATGACCAGATGAGCTGTTGTGGTGTTGACACTTACAAAGACTTTGATGTGGCTTCTAAGTGGGGGAAAAGCTATACAGACGGTGCAACAACCATCAATGGTCTCGCCACACCTCTCGTGTGCTGTACCGAGACGGCACGACAAAACCTAGGGAACTCTGGTAGTGTCACGGCCATACTAGATTGTGCTAAGAGTCCCTTATCATCAGATAATAATTATCAGAACGTAAGTATATCACAATAGTAACTTTGTTTGGCTATATAACATACATTGGTTGAAATTATACTTTTTTTAATGAAAAAGCTTATCTTTATACTTCAATGCGATTTGTACCTCAACAACCTTCTTACAATATTCGTTCAATTTATAGGCAGTAAATGCGAGTCCCTCATTTAGCAGTTATATATATTGATTTTATTTAAGGACATTGCTTAAATGGATCCTCTAAGATATACTTCGGTTGATTTCCAATGGAGATTAACATGCATGCCGTTGTGGAGCAGTTAGTTTAATTATCCAAGTATTTGCGTCAATGATCGCCATGTAAATCTTAATTTCGTTTATATTTTATCCCCATTTCAATGATTAGGAGTTTCAATTTGAATTAAGGTTTTGTTGAAAGTCAAATCCATCGCTGCATTATAATATATGATGATGTGCCATAGTTCCCTAATGACTTTTCCGTTGTTTTTAGTCATTTAAATATAGGATGTAGTTCAATTTAATTTCAATAAATCATTATGGAAAAGCTAATTAGAATAGACAAAAACCATCTTGGACATTTTAAATGTAATTATAATGAAGCCGTGCGATTACTTTTCCACAGAGTTACATGTATGTATGATTTTTATCCATAACAGGGTTGCTATGACGCCGTTTGGGACGAAATAGACAAATCGAAACCCACAGTGATCGGCATAATGTCGGCAATTATCGCATTTCAGGTAACATTTAATCCTTCACGCTGAACGCTAATATAATACATGCCAGAAAGTACAAAATATCATTCATAAGATAAATGTAACACATAACAAATCAGCTGAATAACAAACCTTAAGGCAAATCACTAACACTCACTAAATGCATGCACTATCAGACCAATCACATTATTTCTAAGAAACTGAAAGTCACTTATCAGAACAAGTAATCTAGTTTACCATATTTCAGTGTGATGACACTAAAAAACATTTGTATATGGGATCATCATCCACGATCAATGTCTAAATACGACTCTGTCTAATGTTAGGACAGAAACCACAAATCAAACTTTTTTTTAACTTTATATCAAACGATTAATATATTTTCAAAAACGAATTCGATACAACAACGTGTTTTTATATGTAATGTTATGTTACCGATAGGTATATTTCTGACTCTTTAATGGTACAACACTGCCTTATTATTACCTGTATTCCTTGCGGTCCTTGTGCATTCAAAACAATGTTGGATTTGTTCCCTGGTGCACGGCATGTCCATGATAACGTTTTACCACAAACACTTTTAATTTTGAAAGTCGTTTTGCCATATACAGATTATGTCAGTTTATGATTAATAATCAAAGACTGCATTATGGGCAACCTGTTCGAAAATGTATAACCCGGACACTAACACACATCAGCCTAACCGATCACATTAGACTTAAACAGCTGATCGTAACGTACAGGCTAATCAATTAAAGTAGTGAATTTACACAAAATCTTCCATGTTCAAAAGTCCCTTAGTCTCTGACAAGTTCTAGAAGGAAGATTCAGCTGTGTGGTAAAGTTTGATTCATTATATAACCGACTTTAATTCAAAATTCGAAATTGGTGTTGAAAAGTGCTGTTTACTTGTGGGCCTTGGTACAATCAACCTGAAGCGAAAGGAAACGAGAATGTACTCTGTAGTATAACAACAATTATTATCTACTGCTTTATTTGACGATATTGTGAAATGTAGCATTCATATTTGCTAGCAATAGTAACTGGCTTGTTTTCTTTATATATCTATATATACGAATACATTTGATGTTCTTCTAGCGAAGCTTTAATGACAAAATAGCTGGATGATGAAATCTAATATTGAGCTATTGTATCTAATTATAAATTAATATGGTGCTATTCATTATGTCATTTTATTCAAATCTAAGACACAGTCTATATGTGTTTCCTAATATAAACCATATACACTTTAAATTATCTGGTATTAATCAGAAAAGTTTTACACTTACCAATTTTTAACACTTACCGATAACATTGGTGAAACATTTGTTTTATTTTATTTGTCTTTCAGGCTCTGATGATATTTTTCTCGCTGTGGTTGGCTCGCGCTATCAGGAAAGAGAGTCAGACCGGACCAATCGGATAATGGATTGATTGACAACCAACCAGATTACGAAGAAAATGGACCAATAAGATGACAATGATTATTAACAAATGAAATGGTTAAGAAGATTAACCAATCACCAGGAATAGTGAAAAAGTCAGATATTTCTTATAATGACAAACATCAAGTTAAAAAAAAGATGAACGAGTTATTTTACTGGATTTATTAACAGCTGTTTGGACTGTAGTGATTAGAATTAGTAAGGAAAAGAAGAAATTAACTCCAAAACTTAGATTATTGTAGCTGTCAGATTTGTATTTACGTACTTTTGGTTTGTCATTTTATCTAGATTTATAATATGAAAAGAAATGAACATTCACGTTCAACATGAAGCGTTGATAAATAATTGCCATGGCTAAATCCACAAAAGCCCTACCACAAATGCCCACGGCTATAGATAGCTCGGTTGGACTGCAGTAGTTCAATAAGTATGCTTGTTGCTCTCGCCTATTCAAGTGTGATGTAGTTAGCTTTTGTAGTCAGTGAACTTAATTTTTGTTCTTTTGTTGAAATTATGAGATAAGCAGTTAATTTTGTGGGTTTTTTTTCATCTTAGTTATGATAATGTTTTGTTTTATATCAAAATCAATATATCAATTGATCCATCCACATGTTTTAGTTAACAATGTAACCGTAACATATTTTAGTTAACAATGTCACCATAACATGTTTTAGTTAACAATGTCACCATAACATGTTTTAGTTAACAATGTCACCGTAACACGTCTTTGTTAACAATGTCACCTTAACATGTTTTAGTTAACAATGTCACCGTAACATGTTTTAGTTAACAATGTCACCGTAACATGTTTTAGTTAACAATGTCACCATGGCAGATTTTAGTTAACACGGTAACCGTAACATGTTTTAGTTAACAATGTGACCGTAACATGTTTTAGTTAACAATGTGACCGTAACATGTTTTAGTTAATAATGTCACCATGGCAGATTTCAGTTAACAATGTCACCATGGCTGATATTAGTTAACAATGTCACCTTTGTTAACAATGTCACCTTAACATGTCTTTGTTAACAATGTCACCTTAACATGTTTTAGTTAACAATGTGACCGTAACCTGTTTTAGTTAACAATGTGACCGTAACATGTTTTAGTTAATAATTATATATTTCAGTTAACAATGTCACCATGGCTGATATTAGTTAACAATGTCACCTTTACATGTTTATGTTAATAATGTCACCTTAACGTGTTTTAGTTAACAATGTCACCTTGGCAGATTTTAGTTAACACGGTAACCGTAACACGTTTTAGGCAACACTGTAACCGTAACATGTTTTAGTTAACAATGTCACCGTAACATGTTTTAGTTAACACAGTAACCGTCCGTGCTTAATTATATATTTCTATAGATTAAGTGTTTAATGACTATTCCGTCCAAGTTTATCTTTAATTGTATACATATATAATGTTGTTTTTCTTTTTATAAATGTTTATGGTAGTATTTTACCTGCTGAAAAATTACGGAAATCTTTAAAAATGATGTACCGGATATATCATGATATTTAAACAATAGAATATTTTAATTCAGTTAACAATGATAACAGGTTTGGTCATTTATTATCCTGCGAAATATTTTATGTAAGTCAGAGTTTTCATATCCAAAACGAATATATAAGACCGTGAATAATACCTTATTCCGTATTTCGCAAACTAGTACGTAAACCCTTTTATCTTTCAATCATTCGATGTAATTTGTGTGCCAAATGATCTGTTCAAGCATTATATATATATATATATATATATTCAAGAGGAATAAAGAAAAAGAAAGACACTATCTCGTTGTTGATTTTCTTATATTGCCGATCGGACATGTGTTTCAATGTTAATTACCATGTTACGTTTGTCTAATGCTCGTAACCTCAGAAACAAAGGGAAATTTCCTCAATCTTTACAGGACAAACAACACTATCTTCTATATGGGATTACCTGAATTTCAATAGGATGGATGGGGCGGACTTGAGGAGGAGGGGTGTGAGGATTTGAAAACAAACTATTCCATTCTTCTGGAATAATATTACCTAGGCATGATAACATGGTATCCATGTCAGCATAATAGTGTCTGTAGACAAAAAAAATTATATGTTACAAAAAAAGTAAAAAAAAAAAAAGTAAAGTTATTTGGCATCCATTCAACTAGCTACACTGAAAATGGTGTCGTCGGCTACAGCCACGGGAATTTCAAGGTACGTTATACTGACAATATGCTTTCTTAATGTTGATTCACTTCAGGTTGTACGTGAAGCGGGAAGCGGCATGTATACATTTTTTTTACTTTGTTTTCAATCGGTTAGGGTCAGAAGCCATAATCGCCATCGTTTGTGAGGATACTCACTGCTAAGGTAAAACGAAAACCAAGAAATATATAGAAATTTCAACAGAATCGTAATTAAACGATTAAACTAGGGGAAGTTATGAAAGGAAGATTTACATGGAGAATCCCGAAAACGTACAAGGGTAACAAGACCACTTGATCCGGAAGAGTAAACGTATTGTACTTCATATAAGATATTCGCGATGAACTTCCGGTCAAACCAAATAAGAAAGTTCACTTTCCTAAATGATGTAAATAATAACGAAACCACCAGGCGTACGTTACAGAAAGTACAAGTGTGATATGAGAACAATACAAATTTATGAAGAAAACAACGCAAGCGGAACCATCCACGCATCAGTGAATTTACGAGAATGCCATGGAAATATCAGGCCGAACTCTTGCCATGATGTTATTTGGAATAGAAGAACATAATAGGGCTCTTGGTTCTTTTGTTAAAATAACGACTAATTATAAATAATTTTGTCTAATGTGTTATGTTTTCAGTTTTCTGTCAATAATGTATGTTTTTACACCAGTGTCATTCAGTGGGATCTTCTTGTTATGTATTATGCGAGAGGGAAAGGGAGAGAGTTAGAGAAAGGGAGAGAGAGGGAAACGGAAAGAGGGAGAGAGAGAAAGGGAGAGAGAGGGGGGAAGGGAGAGAATGAGGAGAAGGGAGAGAGAGAGGGAGGGAGGGAGAGAGAGTGAGGATAGAGAGAGAGAGATTGGGTCAATTTTATGTTGTTTACTGAAAAAAATATGTCGGATTGCATTGCTTTGTTTGATTTATTTCTTGTAGATTCAAAAATGACACTTTAAAATCACAGTGTTACGTCATTGAAAGCAAAGCTGTTGAGGCCAAATCATGAGATAGCTACATCTATCAATTAAATTCCGTATGTTTGTAATTATGGTGAATTGATGCGTATACTTTATAAAGGAAGTAAACAGATTCTTTCGCGAATTGTTTAAAACAAAATAATATGAAATCTTAAATTATGCTGAATATCTCATTGAAGCTGATGCAATAGATTTGATTCAAGACTTGATAAAAAAAAATCACGCATGGCTCTTTGGGATCATCAATGCTTTCTAATTTTACAAATTTGGCACACATTCACATGTGCTTAATCCAACAAATCTGCACACGGGCGCTCGCCAAGACAAATACATACAGGTTGATACATTCTTTTGAATTCCACGTCCCTATGCAGTATACATGTCCTCTTAACACACGCTTATGAGTCAAACCAATGTCTACATATAACCAATCGTAAGAATTATTATGACGTTATTACCCAGAAGGAACTGGAACTGTCGCCAGAGTGGGGAAATGATACCCTCAGTTCAACACCATACAGAATGGTACGTATTTCATGATAAAAATCACAGGTCCGAAAGATAGATATAGAGAATAATTTAGTTTTGTCAGATGGATCCATGAATTGTAAATTTTGAAACAGATTGAAATGTGACTGTATCCTCCTTTACGTAACAGGCCAGTCAGATAAACAATGTAGGCGGAGTTGTTCAGACAAGATTCAGTAAAACTGTTATAAAAATAGATAAAACCTTAAATATGGGCAGGCGCACAATATAAGTGTGTAAAGACTACATCAGGGATGTTTCACAAAATTTGGACAACCACTGTAGGAGGAGGAGGAGTCTACAAGATTCGGTCTTCAAAAATACTAGTACAATGGACATATCTTCAATGAAAAAGTCAACTAGAGAATAAGCACGAGGATGTAACTTCTATTGTGATATTGAAATCCACAGTATTTAACATAGTTTTGACAAAAATCATGGGGAAGTTATCCGGATGTGATCCTGACACAGAAATACGGAAAGACGGGCGGCCGGACACCATATTGCCAATATACAACCTAACTTCATTGTGAAGTGTACCTAAATATAGGAAAACACACAAGCTAAGACACTTCTTACAACGATACAACTGGATCAGAAGGCAAAATCGTTAAAGCGTAAAAGCAGAGTCATGCTGCTTTTTCTTGTGAGATGTTTTATGTTTAATCATAGCATACCATTACGAAAACCTGTGAAGAGGGTCCTAAATATTTGATTACGGTTAAAAAGTGTACCTGTGTCTGGAAAGAAATAAATATGCTAATTTCATATATCAACAACAGTTAAGGTTATTTGCTGTATGGGAAATATTTGGAGTCTTTCCAAGGTGGCGTCATCCTCATATCCTAAAGGTTTACCAGTTAAAAATATATGTATTTAAAATAATAGGAAAAAAAGGAATTTAGATATAACTTAACGTCATGAGTTCACCTGTCTTTCAAATTCTCCCATAAAGCTGTTTCCGTAACTTTTTACAAGAGTTGTACATATGTGAAGGTGAAATTCTAAATAAAGTAATATTGATTACGGATGATAATTGTTTATAGATAAAGTCATCTCGTATGGAATAATTGAGAATCAAATCTGTGTGATTTATACACATTTAAAAACATATGCAGTTGGTGTGGATGACATTAAATAACTACAGATTTATCAGTTTGTATCTCGTTTGTACTCTATCTTACCTAACTAAGACTATTACAAATATTATCGGACACGTTGCCTGTTTCAGTTAAGCATGAATTCTACTAGCATCTGATAACGGAAATATTGATTTGATGATGATTCACTGAAATGCCATGTCCCATTTTTATAATATGTTTTTGTATCCCACTAATTGTATCTAATTCTTTGTTGACAGTAAGCACGTGAAACGTGAGCAAACATATTAATGGCTGGTATACCAAAGATTAGGGACTGGACCTTTTGTTATTTTCTCAAAAGACAAACGCACAGAAAATCATAATGTAGAACATGAACAACATCTATTTACGATGATACATTCAGGACGTGCACAATGTTGTTTTCATATTACTTATCTCGAGCGCTCTGTATATGATTTCAAACGCTCGGCATGTTATTTCGAGCGCTAAACTTAATATATCGCACTCGACATACTGTCCCTATTTACTTTATCATAACTCTTACTCCAATTTTGTAACGGAGTTCAGTAATGTACTTACCAATGCGTTATTGGTAGGCAAGTAATATTTCGAGATAACAAGTTGACCGCTCGAGATAACAAGTCGACCACTCGAGATAACAAGTCGACGTCTCCAGATAAAAAGTCGACCGCTCGAGAGAACAAGTCGACCGCTCGGAATAATA